CAGCGGACCCCTGCTTTGTCAAAAGACCACGTGCCGCCGCGACGTAAGATCGTCTACGGAAGCAATCATGGGTACCATGCTTGCCCCCGCACCTCCTGCACTCAGCCTCACACTCCTCAGTGTCGCGGCCGAAGGTGCCGCACCGCCTACCGTAGGGAGTCGAGCAGGCCGAAGCCGTGTGTCCCACTTCACTACAGCGCGCGCACACTCGCCGCATGCCGCGGTACTCCATCATGATCCGGTGCCCCGCCACGGTTAGGAAGTTGGGCACTGGTTTACTCATCTCGATGCGGATGACGCGGGCACCATTTCACTTCGCCTGGCGATTAGTCACAGTCGTAAAGACCACGTTCTTGACTTTACCATACTATGCGAGTGCACTGGTCAAGGGGTCGTCTGGGAGATAGGCTGGGTACCGAAAAACATTCACAAAGATAACCGGAGGCCCTACAGCCTCCACCGTGACTTTTTGGTTGTTAACAACAAAACCTTCGCTGACCATTAACTTAGTTGCCGGAGCGGCATTACCAGTACATACAAGAAAATGTGAGCCTCCCATGTGCTTGAGCACGTGCACGCTATCATCTCCTGCCACGCGCTCGACTGCGTCAATAAGGTCATCTATTGACAAATCGCCATCAGGTGTGTTAAAAAAACAGATCTCCCTCACCGGGAGGCTTATTTGTGCGGCCATTGCTGGAGGCGTAGCCGGTTGCTCCTCCGAAAAAGGACTGGGGGGGGGGGCGTGTCTAGTAAGTGGTTGGAGCGCAGCTTCGCCGCGCACTGGTAGACTAGTTCAGCAGGCTTTGGATCCTGGGACCCGCAATTGGTGGTAGGCGGCAGAGCAGGGGACTCCGGGTGTGTGGGTGGAAACTGGGCTCCGCTCGCCTCCTGGCATAGGGTGGTGGTCACCGGCCGGGGGAAGGGCCCGTGACCCAAGGGCTGCAGGCGCACGCACTCCAGGTGGGTTGGTGCTGTCGCGGGGACGTTCAGCTTTCCGGCGGTTGACGCCCCTTGGGGGGGGGGGGGGAGGGAGGAATGTCGGCGTGACGTGACCCTGACTCTCGAGCGAGGACTTAAGCCAAAGGCTTACTCGATACCTTCATCTTAGCCGTTTAAAAGGCCGAGAGGCTGGACATTCGTCTATTTGTCCGCCCTAACGATATCTCGAACGGCACCACACGGCCAACCCTATCCGTTGCGCCCACCAATATTGCTGAAGGTTTAGCGGTCGTAGTTGTGCGATTGTCAATTAAAAATGCACATAGTGCGCATATCTAAGGCGTCATAACAACACGTCTATGTTTTGTAAGTCTGCCTTTATAATAAAGAGGCAGACACAATTAACTCTAAGAGGTGTAGCGTTTAACGCGCTGCGCTCACAGTGCAATGCGATGCTCAAATAGGTGTTTCCAACGCTTTGCTACGACGGCACGGTGATGGCCCCTGCCCGTCCCTTTGCATACTACACCTTATCACTTCGGAGACTGGCGCGCATCTTCCTCCGCGGTCATGCATGTCTTCGTTTTCGAAGATAACTGCCACATGGCACTCGAGTCTAACGTACCTGGATGCGCTTGTTCGTCTCCGTAACACGCTCGAGGCATTCTAACGCCGCGCCTTCAGAATACCATTCACCAATTTTCTTGCACAGAACATCAAATAAAAGCTTTGTTCACTTTCTCCAGACGCAAGACTATGGTCCTTCGTCGACATTTACAGTGTACAATGTAGATTTTGGCCATTTTTTTTCGCTGCGGTGGCCCTGGCACTTTAAAACGCGCTCGCACCCGGGTTTTCTCTCATGACCATGGAGTGCACTTTGTTATGAATGAACACTACGGCGCGCAGCGTGGCTACGCGGCAACGCAGTCCAGAGTTTCTCTTCAGTATGGCAGCGCAGACAGGCGAATCTAGACTTGCGGGCTCGTGAGGCTGCAGCAGAAGGGCAGCACCGGCATGCCGACCTGGATCTAAGGGCTCACAAAGTTGCAGCGGAACCGAAATGTCGTCGTCTGAAGTTTCGAGTTTAATTGCCGACAAGGACCCTTAGGTTTAGATTTCTCGATAAGAGAGACGATCACAATGAAAATAAAACGCCGCCCACATCTTATCACCATATGGGCATTGTGATTAAGAAACAGCTTTGTATTTACTGTACGCATGTGTTTTTCCGTCTTTTCATGATAAAGTGCGCAATGTAAGGGGGGTAATTGATCTTCCTGAACATAACCTTCTCGCCGTCATTCATATGGTGGATATGGTGGGATTTTTGATTTGTCTTTCCTATGTGAACATGGTAGAAAAAGCAAATAGTAGCACAGTTTCTAGATGAAAAAAATTATTGTATGGTAGACGTTTAAAACGACAGAATTTCAAAAATAGTGGGTTAGCACTTCCTTAGCTTTGATCTAATAGTGAAATTAAAAGAAAATTACCCACACCTGTGCATAAAATAGCGAATGAATAACGCACGGAAAAACAACTGAAGATACGCTCAAACTTTTTTTCTCGTAGGTCGAACGAGCTCGTTTTATTAGGCAGTGCTCACATTGCTTTCTTCGCCCTCTCTGATGATTGATACGTCGGGTCTAATGTCCCAAAACCACCATATGATTATGAGAGACGCCGAAGTAGAGGACTCCAAAAATTTCCACTCCCTGGGGTTGTTAACGTTCACCCATATCTGAGCACACGGGCCTACGGCGATTTCACCTCCATCGAAAGTGCAGCAGCCACAGCCGGGATTTGATTCCGTGACCTGCAGGTCAGCAGTCGAGTACTTTTGAGTAAGACAGTAAGTTGGGCCAAATGGTTAGGATCCATCGTGAACTTTCTTACAGCGCAACAACAGAAAAAATACAGGACAGGGAAGGAGTAGAACAGCGCCGTCTTTTCTATGTGTTCTACTCCTTCCCTGTCCTGTATTTTTTCTGGTGTTGTGCTGTAAGAAAGTTCACAAGTACTTTTGCTCCTGGGCCACCACGGCAGGGCTTTTTCACCATCATTGTTCTGATGAAACGAATAATACTACTTACAGACACATAACAGGCCGATAAACATGATAATCACAAATTGAATAAATATGTATAATGTTCAAGTGGTAACCAATTCTTAAAAAAAACATTGTTGGCCCCACCGGGGTGGTCTAGTGGCTAAGGTACTCGGCTGCTGACCCGTAGGTCGTGGGATCGTATCCCGGCTGTGACGGCTGCATTTTCGAAGGAGGCGAAAACGCTGTATGCCTGTGTGCTCAAATATGGCCCACGATAAAGGACCCCAGGGGGTAGAAATTTCCAGAGCCCTGACTACGGCGTCTCTCATAAATATATGGTAGTTTTGGGATTTTGAATTTCACAAATAAATCAATCAAAAAATATGGTTGATCCTTTCAGTCACAAGATTACCATAACGTTAAAACGAACCAGCCAGGAAATCGCGCATTGTTTAATGTACTATCTGCGTCGTTTGAGAACCAACCAGTAAAAAGCTTTCGCGATGGTATAGTGCGTGCCGTCCAATTGTCTCCAAGGAGGGGCGCGCATATATGCGTACAGCTGCTGATAAGAATGCACGCTTTTGTCTATGATCACAACTGGATGGCGCGTTCTGTACCGTCCCGAAGGCTCGCCGTTGTTCAGACTTCTTTAACGCAGATAGTACGTTGCCGTATGAGCACTTGTACCACAGGATCTTCAGCAATACTGAGTGTGACAGCACCGCAGGGCATTGACGCATTCAAGATAACGCCTAATGTTGAAGATCTCCATCCCAAATACTAAACCCAAAACACATGATTGAACCTTTCTGGTACGGATAAATGGATATGTGGTGTTTAACGTCCAAAAATCACCATATGATTGTGAGAGACGCTGAAGTGGAGGGCTCCGAAAATTTCAGACCACCTGGGGTTCTTTAACGTGCCCTCAGATCAGGGCTCACGAGGGATCAGCATTTTTGCCTCTATCAAAATTGTAGCTGCTACCGCCGGGATTCAATTCCATGACCTGAGGGTAAGCAGTGGGCTACCTTAGCCATTAGACCACAGCAGCGGGGTGAATCCTTCTCGTAGCTGAAGTAGTTAACATACATCTGCGCAAGGTATATGGGCAGTCCCGAGGAAATAATCCATCAACACACATTACGCTATGGTATTCGACAGACGTCATTACTTGAGCAAACTTATGCCCCCAAAGTGAAAGTAAAGGCACAAGCAGCACACGCTGTTAATGAGGGTAAACAGAGCGTTGGTCGTCTGTAATGTTTTTAACAGTGGAACGCGTCACCTTTTAACATGCGTCCTCGAAAGTTTCAGTGAGTATTAATGTTAGGAGGAGATGTGATAGAGATCAGGCGAGTTTGTAAAGCATCGTATACGTGGATCGGTAGCGTACTTGGTAGAGCAGCGAGATATACGTCGTTGTGAAACGAGTGGCGGTGCGTTTCATTCCTCAAGTCATTCAATTATTTGTATTTAACCCGAAAAAGTTGTATACAGGCGTCCACGAAGTCTTCAGTGAAGTACTTCCGTCACGGAAAGCAAAGAAAAAGCGTGGCTGATCCCTCTTTTTTAGAGTCGGTATTGCACAAAAGTGAAACGCGTCCTTGGGGAGGTAGTTGAGCGTTCAAGGTGCATTTCTTCACCACAAGGGCATTGCACTGAGTGGTGCAGTAACAAAGTGCAAAGTCACGTGAAGAACGGCAAGCAGTGTTTTCCCAAAACATTTACCACATTTCACAATGAAGGCTATCTCTCCCCCAGCAACGACTTTATGACAAAGCCTATTCTTTCAAAACTCGTGTGTTTTGCTTTGTAAGAAAAGGAGGGGGCTTTAGAAAAAACTTAATTTGTATCCTGGATAACTTAATACACTCCAGGACATTTCCGTGAGCTGACCTGCAGTTTTTGAAAGAATAATGATGTCTATTTCACCCTGTTGCTGTCTATCGGTTTCTCGGCCATACAAGAAGTCGGCCGGATGATTCACCATGTTTATTTAAAAACGCCATGTGTTTGGTGTTTGGTTACGTTTGCTGCTTATATGCCACTAAAACCAAAGAAAACTACAACCAAGCACAAAACCCTTCATATTACTGCAGTCGCTATTGCGTGTGCTTTTGTTGAAGTCTCGCGGCTGTTGCATCGATGCCGTTAAATGAAATGATGCGCGTCTTGCCAAGTGAACTGTCCCGTGGTCCATGTGCCAACAAGCTTTTCATCTTAGTGTCAGTTCTTCGGTTTCAGGTGATGGGGCCGTGTTCATATTACCCTAAAATAGACAAAAAAAAAACGATCAGTTAAGAAATTCTGCATCTGATTTCAGTTTACTACTACATGCCTAGACGGGAGCAAGTGATCACTTAATATCGCCGCACGGAAGAAGAAGAGAAGGGAGTGACGATTAACGCCTGTTTGTTCTTCAGACTTTGCAGTGATCCTGGTACTCTTGGCAAACAAAAATTTTCGGCTTAGGCCATCCTTTCGAATAACCTTTCTTTTTAAGAGCAACTATAACCCCCTCATAATAGAATATTAAACGCTTTTACTCAATGAATGGGATCAGAGAATCCATAAATCAAGCATCACATGCAAACAAAAGACGCGGCTATACAGACAAAGTCATTCTTTGCAGGATGATTATGTTTTCATACTTGTTTGTTGAGACTTCAAGACTTAAATAGGTTTAAATGTTTTGAGATGTTGAGAAATTATATTTACTTGATGTATGGAGTTATTTAGGGCAAGATGGTTTATCTTAAAGCTGGTTGATTTAGAATAAAGCTTGCGAAGAGGAGACTTGTTTGTAAATTTGTTTTTTATTGTTATTCAGCAAAAGCACTTTGTCAATTTCTTCTGACCCAAGAGTCAGTAGCATTGGAGGCCGGACGTTTAGAAGCACAGAATAGAGAGGGAGGAATGCAGGTTGAAATAAAGTCACAGTGTCGCCACAAGGACGAAGCAAAGAATGTGATAGCGAGAAATTGGGTTATCACATTCTGAAGCCTAATCAGATTGATACTTCCAGTGTGCCACTGAAACACAAAGACACTCAAATATATCGCAGTGGTGCACACAAAAAAGGCTTGAGAAGACAACTCTCACAGTTTTAAGTGCGAATCATTTTTTTGCCTACAGCAGACACTTTGAACATTTTCTATCTATCTATCTATCTATCTATCTATCTATCTATCTATCTATCTATCTATCTATCTATCTATCTATCTATCTATCTATCTATCTATCTGTCTATCTATCTATCTATCTATCTATCAATCTATCTATCTATCTATCTATCTATCAATCTATCTATCTATCAATCTATCTATCTATCTATCTATCTATCTATCAATCTATCTATCTATCTATCTATCTATCTATCTATCTATCTATCTATCTATCTATCTATCTATCTATCTGGCCGCCTACGTCTGGGCCTCTCGAGATCTTTCTCTTAACTTGGGGCAAACCAAAGTTAGAATAGGTGGATAAGACAGTTAGACAAATACAACTCGCTAGTGAATACGGGAATAATGTCACAATCCGGTCTCGCATGCTGTCAGCACTTTCCACCGGACAGTGGCACATACCTGCGGATGGGTATGCGCCATTGGGACACGGGTATGTGCCAGATGTAATTAGTCCGTTATATATACTCATGTGCAATGGGCGCTCATGTGGGCAATTTTAACGCGTGAACCTTAAGAGAGCGCTGCTATCGGCAGCATTGGCCAGTTGAATGTGTGGAAAAAATGTCAGGGTCCCAGCTGGAATTGAAACCTAGCATTCTACGCGACAATCAAGTATTCTACCACAACACCACGCCAGCTCTTAGAAATACGTTTAAAATAAAGCCTAATGTTCCTGAAACGTCAATTGTGCTTGCGGATCTGGCTATCCAATTTTATAAATATTACATATGTACTCCCATATTACATCAGTCACGAATGTTAATGTGAAGTGCGGTTAGATTATATTCGCTAAAATTTATGTGGCAGTGAGCAGAGCTACCATCCTCGCGAGCCTCAGTGCTTCCTTCATATCTACCGCCTTGTTCGCGATATTTTTAGCTGTTGTCATCGTTGCGCAGCTGAAAACAACTGGATATGTAAAACAATTACGGCTGTTGAACGTGCAGCTGTGTGTCAGTTTTTATTCATCTTGAGCGCCGCTTCGTAACGTTTCACTCAATTAAAAATTACAACGCAGTCACCCTTCATGCGTATGCTTCAAATAACATCTGTTCTCAAGGTGTGTTGAATCTACCGAATTTGTTACGCCTTTGTGCTTCAGCGATGCGCTGTACGAATTCACAATACCAAACACGACCCCTTTAGTTAGTTTTCTGTTAATCTACAGCGCGTAGAGCAACCTCTATGCGTCTTTTCGTGGGCTTTAGTTGCGCCCAATTTTTTTATCTTCCGCATTGCGAGTGGGTACAAAGAGGGGCAACAATTTCAAGGTGTTCACAAAGACTGTATTCCAAATGGAAGAACATGAACGAGCTTTTCTGGCTTGAAAACACTTTGAAGGTTCTCACATATCTGCGTACCCCAAGCGTTATTTGATATATACAAATATCCCAGCGCTAGTATGCAGAACAAGTCATGGCATGTGAATGAGTTGTTTAACGCAGTGTGCTTTGACTTCTCTTATGAAATATTTCATGCCTGCTTGATATATATATATATATATATATATATATATATATATATATATATATATTCACTTATAGTCGGTATATAAGTGAAATTAAACAGGGGAGTGTCAGTCAGCCCCATTTGTAGCCATGGCGGCGTGTGTGGTACACTCTTTGTGAGCCTGTGTGGCGTCATGTAGCACGCGCCTGTTAGATCTCATTATTATTGCGTCACATCCCGGAAAAACGAACTTAGAAGTATATACTTTTCCCCCTATTCATTAACGGGGGTTTCATACTGGCAGACTTGGTGCCTTAGGTTGTATACGAGGGACTATTGGTCAGCTACCAGCTCGTAATAAGTTTCCTTGCTACGTGACTCCACACAGGCTGCCATGGCTACAGGTGGTGCTGACTGACACTCCCATGTTTAAATTCACATATACACCCAACAAAGTTGCTGGGGGGATAGCCGTCAGTGGTAGCTTAGTGGTAGAGCATAGAACGCATTATTCGAAGGTCGCAAGTTCAGTTCCTGCCACGGCAAGTTATCTTTTCACCCTCTTTTCTTTCTTCACATTTACATTGCAATTCGGTGTAGTAACTTCCTCTATAATTTCCTTGGCATTATTGTCTGTTATATCTCAATAATATTGTGTGAAACACGGAAAAACGAGCCCTTAGGTATACACTCTTCCCTCTCTTTCTGTCTCTCTACTCTCTCTTTCTCTCTCTCTCTCTCTATCTATATATATATATATATATATACTATGTATAGTATATCTATATATATATATATATAATGTAGAAAAAGAGGTCGACAAACGTGCACAAACACAGGTTTTACTAACGTTTCGGCAGGGGGGCCTGCTTTCGTCAAAGAAACTCACTTTGACAAAGGCAAGCCCACCTACCGAAACGTAAGTAAAACCTGTGTTTTCGCACGTTTGTCGACATCTTCTTCTACTGCGCTAATGAATTCACACCACTATATATATATATATATATATATATATATATATATATATATATATATATATATATATATATATATATATATATATATATATATATATATTTATATATATATATATATATTATATATATATATAAATATATATATATATATATATATATATATATATATATATATATATAATATATATATATATATATAGTAGCGGCCAGTGTGAGGGAGAGTGTCAGACCCTAGGGTATGACACTCTCCCTCATACTAGCCGCTACAAACCTAGATCAACACGACCAAATAATATGGAAAAATGTCCTGCTTGAGGCATCTCTTAAATTACCAGAAATTGCTCTGAATCACAGTGATAAGCAGCTAAAGAAACTGGTCGCAATGACCAAAACCATTCTGCGCCACAACACTTTATCGAACGAAGAATTCACCTCATTAACAGATTTTGAACAGAATACTTACGAAGCTATCATGACCACAAAAACCCATAAACTCAAAAGAGGCCATGTTCCCAACCCCACGTTCCCTGATATAGTTCCTTATCACTACAACACCACCACCCAGGAAACCACTAACGGTACAAACGAGCACCCATCTATGAACACACCCTGTGACACTGTGGTTGTAAACTTATTGGACACGAGCTTGTCACCTGACGAAAAAAAAAAAGCTATCTGAAGAACTAAGCTTCGGCCCAACCACAAAATTTTTCGATGAATTCCACTTGCTCCGAGACCTCGACAACTTCGCTAGAAGCTTAAGTTGCGCGAATATTTCTCAGGCAGGCCTTCTAACCACGAAACAATTCACCGTCGTAAAACAAATGAGTGGACACCGAACAGTAATCGAGACAAGTGCCTGGACCTATATATCACCGCAGTACAGAAAGATATAGTACACGAATACCACAGACAGAAAGGAAACTGAAAAAACTTGACAAAATCTGAAAAAATGAGTATGAGAAATCTGTCATCTAGGACAGACATAATAAAACTCGCTGACAAAGGAGCAGCAATTGTAGTCCTTAATACAACTAACTACTTACAAGAAGCATACCGCCAACTAGACGACTCAAGATTTTACGAACGCCTCCCAGGTGATCCGACAGACGAATACAAAGGTATCGTATCAACAGAACAAAAAACTGTGTGATGCTGAAAACATAATTAACACTGACCACAAACTGGAGCGAGCAGCATACCCTCATCCAGGTTCCTTCTACATCCTCCCAAAAATCCATAAACCCGGTAACCCCATTCGACCAATCATATCAGGCATCGGTACAATAACTGAACCCATATCAGGGTACGTGGAGAAACTGATAAGCCACATTCCAAGCACCCCGCCTCGTACATTAAAGGTACCACACATTTTCTTCGAGATATTGCAGGTCTGTGTGTGCCGAAAAACTCGTACTTGGTAACTCTTGATGTCTCTTCATTGTATACAAATATTCCTCAGGATGACGACATAGCTGCATTAAAAAACATGTACACAAACCATAGAAGATCTAACACCCCAGATTTCTCTGCCATTGCAACTTTGACGAGAATGGTCCTCGAAATAAATTCATTCGAGTTTAACCAAGAGTAATTTCGACAAATCAGCGGGACCGCTATGGGCACCAAAATGGCACCCAATTATGCCAACGTAT